CATCTCTTTCGTTTGACTCCATTGTTCGAGGCTACAGAAGATTTTTGAGATTTGCTGAGTGATGTGCAACCAAAATAAACTCACTTGGAATACTGGTAGCACAATCTGGTAAAAATATCGAAGGCATTACATTCTATGAGCAGTCTCTGAAATATTCGAATAAAATGTCACTTTCTCACTAAGCAACAAGGGGAATGAAGCGAGGCCATAAAATGCAGACGATCTTACAATGTTAATGATCACTTTATCGTAGAACGAGATCGCGTATATTTCTATTGATTTCCAATCTTGTTGAACAGAGAAAATGTAAACCGGGAGAGGGTTAATGCACAACCAGGTACGATTTAGTCAAAATGTTAATAACCAATTTTAAATATTCAAAAATATTAAAATTGAGGAAATAACGAATAAACGGGGTCAACCTCACATTCTATTCTAAACCTCAGTTATCAGAAACTGCGCAAGACCATTGTTGAGCCCCTAAAATCCACTTGATGAAAAAGTATGGGATTTCTATCTCCGATTATGCGAAAGGCGACCATGTGTCATATCAGTACATGCATACGGTAGAGCACTCGCTCGTAACAAAAATGAACTTGCTCCCAGCTATAATTCCATCAGTTCCAGAAGACAGTGTACAGAAACTTCTGACTGACTAGGACGACTTAATAACTCTAGCAAAAATTTAGACCTAAAATGGGGCAAGGAGCTGAGTAAACTTATCATCAGAATATGAACCAAACAAAGCTCTCTGCAGCGCATTCAGCTGCACACAGCCTTGAATCATTTTATTTAGTTGTTTGTACTACACTAACTCGAATGCCCCATCTCTTCAGGAACATCAATAAAAAGAGATTCATCAAGATGAAAAACATCGAAGAAAATTACCTTATTAACAGGTCGATTTGCAATGACATTCACCAAAAAGCCAGAGCTGTACCGCCTAACGAAAAGGTCACGATCGTTCGATCTACACAAAATGTCTAGCACCTGAAATGAAATAAACCTTGAAACATAAAAAGGATGGTTTAAAATGATCAAAATTATTCTTGAGTTGGGTGAATATGCTGAATTTTCATGAGATCCGCGGATAATTCCATGAAGTGTCATTTTGATTATACTTGGACAGTTTACGAACCTGTCGTATGGAGACCCTCAGATCCTGATCATCTACGGTCTTTACATCGCTAGCAAGAGCAATAAGGTGAATGCCCTCTCGAAGAACATCCGTTGATTGATAGAGTCGTTCACAGACTTTCTGGAAAAATACTGCTATTTCAGCATAAGCGCTCTCGTTAGCTAGGAAACTAAATATGCGACCATCAGACCCTTGAAAAGAACCAACCTGAAGACCTCCCCAACGGACAAATAGCTCTGCAGCAGTCT